ATTTAATTTAATGTTATTGTTTTTTTATGAATAGTTTGGGACGTCATCCAAATATCATGCAATTTGATCATTCAATGTCATCAGCTACTCCAAGGAAGAAAGATGGGGCTGTCAGCTTAAAAAAAAAAAATGTTCAGCCTTGGAAACAATGTTGGGCAGTTCTATTCTGTCCTAGAGGGTGATTGTGAGAATGGATGATCATGGGTGGGTTTCATGCTGGGACATTTCAATGGTAAGAAGTTCTCATAAGTTCCAAATGATGTGTATCTATAAAAATTGTAATAATCTAGTTAGGCTACAAATGTGCAATTGGGCAATATTTTCAATTCTGTGCCATATCCTATTCCCCTCCCCCTTTTTTCTACTGAAAAAAGGAATATTTTTTAGATGCTATAGTTTAAAGTCTTTAAGAAGATTTTCACAAGTGGCTAGATAATGTCTAATGTAGGATATATGAAATTATATGGAATACTTAGCAGTTTAACTCATCTACATCACCTCTTTTAAAGTACCTATTTGCTCTAGCATCCCATTGTCTACTTGTTTTATGCATATACTTTATTGCTCGGAAAATCTTTGAAAATGCCCTTAACACAATTATTTGTTCACGTACAACACTTAATATATCAGCCGTTACGTGCTTCTTTTTCTCTGTTCTTATGTTAAATCTTAACTTTTGTTATATGGCATTCAATTTTTGTATTCCAATAAAATTCACTAAAGGTAAGAGAAGGGGAGTATTCTTTGAAATATCATAAACCCTTAGCCAATCATTGAATAAGAGTCTCATTTTGACTAGTAATAGGTTCTGTGAAAGGGGCGGGGTTGTCTAGTGGTTAGGTGTTGGACTACAAACCACAAGGTGGGCATTTCGGAACCACCAGCCTCTTCTTGGAGAAAGACGGGGCTCTCTCCTCCGGGTCACAGTTACTGTCTTGGACACTCACAGGGGTGGTCCCCCGTCCTGTGGGGTCCTTGTGGGCCCGCATGGACTTGATGGCCTGTGATGCAGAGTGAACTCATAGTCAGTGAGATTTGTATCTCATGGGCCTACGTTTGTTCTGATTTAAAATTCTAATTCATTATTATGGTTTTCTTCTTTAATCTAGAAATTAGTTATTCATCTTCTCGTCCTTGGGCTTTATCGATAACAAACACCATGTGGCAGTAACCTATCATTGTTTAATGATCATCAAAATATAATGTAAAATTTTATTTAATGCCAGACTTTTTTTTTTATCGCCATCACTTCCTGTATCACCCTTTGTTTACTACTTAGAAGCAAAGCTCTTCAAGTTAATTTGAAACTTTTAATGTTGACTTTTGGAATATGTGACAAGTTATCTGTATCCCACCCACAACCTTGTTAGTAAAGGGTTTCAAGATGATAAATCTGTGTGGAGCAGACAGCCTAATTGGTTGCCCTTGAAGCAGCTAGTGGGTTTCAAGTTTGCAGCTGACAGCCTGTTGTCTAACTTAGGGCACCACCATTTATTAGGTTGTTGAGACTGTACCAAACAAAACATAGACAATTCAGCCATTTCCGGGAGTACAATTCAGTGACATTGATTCTGTTCTTTCTGAGTTGTGCAACTATCCCACCCTCCTTTTCTCATGCCCTCGAAGCTTTCTGTCTACTCGTTTGAGTTGCTATTGGTCAATGTGATCCCAGGCGGATGGATCTTAAGAGAACCCAGGGTGAAGGCAGACCTTCTCTACTGGTTACGTTGACCTATGGTTTTATCTAGACCATTTTAGAGATACATTAAAGTTTAGTGTTTTCACTAAACACCAGGGAAGAATGAATAATATTTTCTGAAGCAATTAATATTTTAAAAACACACATAAATAACCATGTCTTTAATTATTTGTTCTTGCAGAAAAAGAATGTTTATCTACGTGTGTCCAGAATATGCAGCAATCAGACGACCTGTCTCCCCTAGAAATTGTGGAAATGTTTGCTGGGCTTTCTTGTTTCCTCAAAGATTCCAGTGATGTGTCTCAAACACTTCTGGATGATTTTCGGATATGGCAAGGATATAATTTCCTCTGTGATCTCTTGCTTAGGTAAAACTCCACACTATAAGAATATATCTTAAGTGTCTTTTTTTTGTTTGAAATCAAAGTAAACAATACAACTTGGGGCACCAGGAAAAACATCATAAGGCACTTATTTATTGTACACTTGGCTGACCTCTAAACTTTAATTACTCTATTCTTCTGCCAGCTGAGTACAAAAACTACATTTAGAGTTAAAGTAATAGCTGCAGGGGGTACTGGAATCAGAAGTTAGTTCCGTGAATAAATCTGTCCTTTAGTAGCAGAGGGAGAAGAGTTTTCGATGAACTAGTTTTTATTAACACTTCTTTCATAGTGGTGTTTGTGCACAGCTTTTATTTTATAGTACTTCTTACATTATTATTGATGTAGTTCTCTCAGTTTGCCACATCTTGCCAACTACATTAAGGGAGATGGTACAAATGTGTTTACAACACGGATTAGTCCCTCAGAATGCTTCACTGCTCCCTCTCCCTCCCAAGTGGAATATGCATGTAAGGGTCAGGAAAGGGGCCACTTTCAGATGTTACTAGGAAGACGATACGCTTTCCCCTACTGGTTAAGTGCTGCTAGTACTGTTTTTTGGCCTTTTTGTTAAATCTTTTTTAAAACCATTTGATCCGTTGTAAGAGAACTCTATAAACTTCATGATTGTCACACTAGTTTCTCAGTTGCTAGGCAAGCCCCAAGAAAACAGCTTTGTATCTGTGCTTGTGTGTATAAAACAGATTAATCACTCAGAATGTCTCACCTCTCTTTTCCCTTCCCTGATGGGATCTGCATGTAGGGATTGGGAAAGACACCACTTTCGGATTTTATTAGGCTTTTGGTGGAACAGCCACCTCACATTATTAGTAAGGGTGGTACTTGGTGCAATCCTTTGAGAAGGAAGATTTACAAGATAATTAGCAAAAGCTTTTTATTTAAAATTATTTATTTTTAATTAAAAGATCATTTTATTGGGGACTCTTTCAACTCTTGTTACAATCCATACATTGATTACATCAGACACGTTTGTACGTAGGTTGCCTTCATTCATTTCTAGACATTTACTTTCTATTGAGCCCTTGGTATGAGCTCGGCATTTTTTTCCTCCCTTCCCTCCCCCAGCAAAAGCTTTTAAAATGTTGCTACTTCTTAGTCAAATACTATTCTGGTTATTGATTCTGAAGGTAAAAATCCCAGTTGTAGATAAAGTGGATGCTTGTTATCTCTCTTGTACTTGACATAAATTACTCTACACCCCACCCCACCCCCAATCCAAACGACCAACCAGTGGTGCTGAGCTATTTAAAGAAATACATCTATGGGGAGCTTGCACCGTCCTGGAGAAGTGCACCTATTTAGTGGGATTGAAAGAGGAACCCAGGTCATAGCCTTCTGTGTGTGCTGTGACAATGTGCAAACAGACTACATTCGACTGTATGAGGAACCCAGGTCATAGCCTTCTGTGTGTGCTGTGACAATGTGCAAACAGACTACATTCGACTGTATGAGGAACCCAGGTCATAGCCTTCTGTGTGTGCTGTGACAATGTGCAAACAGACTGCATTCGATTCTGTATGAAGGATAGCTCTTTACAGCCTGTCAGAATGTTGGGCCCTTGAGCTGTGAGTCTGTGTGTACTCTTTTCTTCTTTTGTCTTTTTGCCTTCTCCAAGCTTGCTTTCATGAAAATCATTATTTCTGTGATTAGTGGGGGAATGGGGAATCACAGTGACTCGTGTTTTTAAAAGATATTTCCCGTATCCCACTTTATGTTCCCAGTCAAGTCAAGGTCAAGATCATTTTAGAAGGACTACAGTAGTTGTTTTTTTTTTTAAAGAAGTAAGGTTAGTTCCAATAAATGAGTTAACGCCCAAAACAGTATTGAAATGTACGCTAAGGTGAGTACCCAAATTAATAAGTGATAAAATACAAATACTTTAAAAACTCTTCCCAAGGAATTATATTTAAAATTCCTAACAGGTAGAAAGATATCTTAGTAAGATTTCTGGCTATACATAGTGAAACTTTATAACTTTAGAGCTGTTGGAAACATGAGAATTCATGTCAACTACGTTCTAAAAATATTCTTTGAAGATTAGTGATTTGCCTGAAAACGACTGTTAGTAGCAAAATCAGGTATAATTTTCTCTCAAATACACTCTAATGTCTTAAAATAAAACTTGCAGTTTTTTACTATTTAGGGAATATTATAAGAAGAAAGTTTTCGCCACACTTTATATGTTTATTTATGCCATATAAAATTGAACAATGCTTTCTGTATTGTGGCATTCAACAAAAGAGAAGTATTTAGGTTAGTCATGCTTTTCCTAGGTTGGAACAAGCAAAAGAAGCCGAATCCAAGGATGCCTTGAAAGATCTGGTTAATCTGATAACTTCCCTAACAACCTATGGTGTCAATGAAATAAAGCCGGCTGGTATTACCACTGGGGCACCTTTTTTATTGCCTGGGTTTGCAGTACCCCAGCCTGCAGGCAAAGGTGAGTATCTTCCTTTCCTTTTGAGCTGCTCCGAGGAATAGGGGGGAACATAGCTTGGTTTTGGTAGCTCTATTTATGTGACTTGTATAAAGCATCAGAGTGCTTTTCATTAAATTTTTTTTTATGGTTTACGTTGAGAATATCTTAAGTGAGAGTTGGTGTCTAGCAGATCCAATACTTGGAAATAGCATTATAAAAATATCTTAAACCCAAATAACAAAATTAATACTATACTATATCATTCAACATGCATGTTTCCTTACTTACATAGCACTTGGTGACACTCATGTTTGTACAAGGGAACTTCAAAGAGTTTGTGGAAAATGGAATTTAAGATAATGGAATTTTTCCGTAAACTTTTTTATATGCCCCCTCATAAGGTATATATGGAAAATTATTAGTCATAGATGCTTATTTAAGAGTAAAACCACTTCAGTGTACTATATGTAATAAATTGTATATATAGTGTCAGAGAATAAATGCTCATATTTCTTAATGGGTAAGTAGCTAGCATGGCAGGTTTCCTAACAATTGACTCCTCATATTACCAAAGATCAAATGGTCTTTTATTAAGAAAGCTTATTCTATAGTTGAAGACTAAATACCTTTAGTAGAATACCCCAAGGTTAACTTACAAATTACATTGAAAAATAAAAGTTTTATTGGCGTCATCATTTCACTGGGCTATGATTTATCCTCAGTTCCTAATATATAGAGAACTATTCAATTTAAACTTTTAAATTATCCTACTAAATAGAAACATCTAAACCATGTGCAACAAGTATTATTTGAAGAGTTTGAAGCCTTGCCTTTTTTAAAGGGTTTCAGCACTCTGCTTTAAGATTAACTTAAACATTTGTAATGTATAGTCTCCTTTTTGAGTACTGCACAATTAATTCTTTGTATGAGTTAATATAAAAAGAGCTCAGCAATCAACTTTCTGTATCAGACTTTATTATTCTTTCCTTTGGGCAATCGATGGGACCTTGATATTGCCATACTAGCTAATTACCCACTGCCATCGAGTTGATTCAACTCACAGGGTAAGTAGCTCTGCTCCTGTGGGTTTCTGAGATCGTAAAGATTTATGGGAGTAGACCGCTTCATCTTTCTCCCAAGGAGCACATGGCAGATTTGAGTGACTGACCTCAGAGTTAGCAGTTCAGTGCATAGCACACTAAGTCACCAGGGCTCCTGACTAGCTACTTACAATAGTGTAACTCTGAATAACAGGATTGACCTTCGACACGGTGTTGCATGATAGTGCCTCATCTATAACAGGGATATATATATATAAGTAGGCTTCAAAAAAGTCATGGAAAAACTCCATTATCTTTTAATTCCTCCTTTCCACAAACTTTTTGAAACTCCCTCCTGTAAGACGGAGCCCACTTAAATGTGAGGCTCCAGTGACACAGTGTCAGGCAGGAGCAAGGTTGCTGTATAAACGATGCTGCCTTAAGTGCCCCAAGTTGGGTGACCCTGAGCCAGTCACTTAACAATTATGAATATCAATGTCTTTTTCCAGAAAAAGGATGTCATGTTCTGTGAAAAATGGAGCCAACTCGATCATTTTCTGTTCACTTTATAATTCAATTTTCTATTGCTAGCTACCTACTTCATGGGTTATTTTATAAAGGAGACCAAACTTTTCTTAAGTTGGAATATTTATCATGACACTGAGGTTTTTAATCAGTGTTCTTATTTGTTTTAAATTAAATTGTTTGCTCCTTCTGGAAGAGGGGTAAAATCTCTTTGTGAAAACATGGGATGTCCTCAGTAAATCATTTCTGAAATGTTTTCAGTGCTGTGGGTGAAACAGACTAGTTTACCATCCTATAAACGTCACGTAGCACCCAATTTTGTGCTCTTGTTTTCCGTTTCAGGTCACAGTGTGAGAAACATCCAGGCCTTTGCTGTTCTTCAGAATGCATTTTTAAAAGCAAAGACCAACTTCCTTGCCCAAATCACCCTTGATGCCATCACAAATATTTATGTGGCGGACAGTGCCAACTACTTCATCTTGGAGCCACAGCATACGCTGTCCCAGTGCGCCGAGAAGATTGCTAAACTGCCCGAAGTTCAAAACAAATACTTTGAGATGTTGGAGTTTGTCGTTTTTAGCTTAAATTACATCCCTTGTAAAGAACTTATTAGCGTTAGCATCCTCTTAAAATCGAGCTCTTCTTACCACTGTAGCATTATCGCAATGAAAACACTTCTTAAGTTTACACGACATGACTACATATTTAAAGATGTGTTCAGGGAGGTGGGCCTTCTGGAGGTCATGGTCAACCTTCTGCATAAATATGCAGCTCTCTTGAAGGATCCCACTCAGGCGCTCAATGAACAAGGTACGGCACACTCCATAATGCTGTCCTTAGGGGACAGAAGGAATTCTGTGAAAGTACCTTTTGATGTTTTTGCTTCTTGCTTCGTTGTTGTTTTGACTCAGTTACCAGTATACATTATGGTGACATCCTTGTGAACATGAGGTGGTGACATCCCAATGCTAACAATTCATTGAACCTCTTAATAGTGTATTGGGGAAGGGCAGCCTAGAAACATTGTGGCCAAAGAGAATTTTAAAAGTAAACAACTGAGAAAAATCGCGTATGGTCCACATGAGCAGTGTTGAGAGCTTTTTGCTTGTAAAGGGGAATTTTAAAAGCTTTGGGAAACAATTGGAATATGTAGGTACTGTAAATGTTTTTAATAATATAACCAAAAATCCATGGTCACTGAACCAGTTTGTACTCAAGGTATCCCTATAGAGAGAGCAAATAAATATATCTCTTTAGTGATCTTGCACACGCCGGCACATGCACAAGTGTATTCACCATAGGCACCTCAAATTTGAGATTTTATTGCTTCTTGATAAATGTAATAAAAGTACAGTAGTACCTGGTGATTAGTGTTAATTGTGTTGAATGAACTACTAGAAATTGAACAGGTAGTACTATCCCTAAATGTTGCACTCATTTGATACAGTAAATCTGGCACTCTCCTGACATGCTCAAGGATGAAACCCATATGAGAAGTGTACGAATAGATGTAAATTTGCTCTTTTTGTTTTCACTGTTTGTTAGATAACCGTCTGAACATGAATTGTGAGCTTCCTTTGGTAGGTGTTGTACACGCGTATCATTTTTACAGGTTGTATTAGGTAAGCAGGGAGCTGTAATAGCGTGTTGGGTTGTGTGTTGGCCTGCTAGCTTCAAGGTTAGCAGTTTGAAACCACCAGGCCTTCCTCAGGAGAAAGATGAGGCTTTCTACCATAAAGAGTCCAGTCTTGGAAACCCACAGGGGCAGTTCTGCTCAGTCCTATAGCGTGACTGTAAGTTAAAAGTGGCCTCGATGTGGCAGTGAATTTGGAGTTTCATTATGGAGGTCAAATTAGCAGTGAGTGTGACTGGTCAGTGACCACAGGCATTTTTAAAGCAAAACTTAAGAAAGAACAAATAAGCCTATTACTTTTTTAAAAAATTTGAACCTTTCAATTTTTTTCCTAGGGGACTCAAGAAATAATAGTTCATTTGAAGACCAAAAGCACTTGGCCTTGTTGGTTATGGAGACCTTGACAGTGCTGCTTCAAGGATCAAACACAAACGCAGGTGATTAGAAAGGCTCCTGGGTGAGGCTGTGGAGGGAGGTTACTGCCGATGGCCCGTCTTTGGAAGTTCTTCTGCGGTGCTGTCTCATGTAGAGAAAGCACCGCGCTGCCACCGAGCGCACTCTCATGTCCCTAGCAATGCAATACTTTTACCCTCTACTGCTAATGTGTTTAAGATGTATAAACCATGAGTATTACAGAATCTATAACATCCTCATACTCTCAAAATATGTCTTTATGTTTAATTGATTTTTTAGAGTGGTGTTTGTGTTTACGGTATTCTTTTCCTAATTTTTTGACATAATATAATGCAAACATACTAAAATGATTTAAATATTTTCCAAAATGTTGCTTCTTTTGATGATTTTTTTGATGATTTTCTTAATATTTTCGTAACTCACATTAAAATATTACAACTCATAAAAATACTGAATAATCTCTTGTATAATTTATCTTTGTCAGGTAAATTCTATTCGGTTCATCTTTTGTTTTCTCTTTGGTCGCAGCTTACCTTCAGTCCTGCTCAACTTACAGCTAATAGAGCATTCAACTGTATTGACTATAATATACCTCTTAAACACTCACATATTGACTATAATATACCTCTTATACCTATAATACACATAATATACCTCTTACCTTAGAAGAAGACTAGATTGCTGGACATAATTCCGCTGAGCTCCAGAACCTGTGTGGCAGTGGACCAATACAAATTGAGAACGATGATTGAGGGAGGATGGGAGTAGTTGAGTAGACTACACCCAGATCATAGAGAGCCTTTTAAGCCATGATGAGGAACTTGGTATTTCCATAACTTTGTGCATGCTAAGGAAAGCCTGAAGTCAATAAGCAAATGAATGAACAAACAGATGTAGAAATACATTATTTACCTGAATGCAGAAATTCTATATGTAAAACATTTAAGATGTGTGTACCCCAAAAAAGTAAAGTAGAATATGTGTGTACCAGACACTATAGACAAGATGTTAGAGATGCCATTCCTGTTTTTGTCACAAAGGCCTTGTGACCTAGTCAAGAAAGATGTAAACACATAATTATATAAAATCGTGAATACAATTTTAGACAAACCATAGAGTTGAATTGACTTGGGTAAGATTTGAACACTGGGAATGATAATGTTTATTGGATGATGTATTCGTTGCTTTTCTAGGGTATAATACACAATGAAATTTTCACTCACTGGGTTTCATTGACTGAACTGTCAGAAACAGAGGAAGCACACGAGGCAGAGGTTACTCGGCAAATTAGCTTTTGGTGACCATGACCTAGATTTGAGTAAGACTGAATTGCAGTATTCTACCAGCGTAGGAGTGGAAAGTTCACTTTTTGTGGCAAAAAGTTTCCTAATATGAGGGTGCTTCCTGAAGTTTGGGGGGACATGCCACTGCCTTTTCTCTTTTTGAAGCCCTTTTGTACCAAGAAAGATGGATGGAACCAGTAGACACAGGGAGGGCATGGGAAGACTGCTGTGACATTGTGAGGTTGGAATCAGTATCACCAAACAAAATGTGTAGCAGTGGTTGAATGGAGATCAAAATCATATTTTAAGAAAAATCCAGATGCTAAAACATGACTTGTACTCACTTTAAGGTCTCATAGTTTTTAATAAAGTTAGGAAATCAGAGGGGACATCAATAAGGGACAGTGGCTGCCACAGCAGACTGCATGGACAGTTACTCACTCGACAGATGCTGTTTAAAACACAAGCCAGGAGGAAATTCAAGTTTAATGGGGCACCCAAACGCACACATAAATCATAGGACCATTTGAGAAAGCGAATATAAAAGTATGTACAGGTTGTAAAGGATGGAACGATTACTTATACTGATGAGTTTAGTGATTGTAGTGGAGGTTGGGATGCATAATCGCCCCGACTATGGCAACTTTACTCAGCCGCCAAGTGTCCCATAGCTTTATGTGTTCTGTGGGAAGAAGCGAGAATGGACTCAGTCGGCGGCCTGGGGCTCTGCAGTAGCACAGCGACAGGAGCGCTATGTTGCAGTTTGCTGTGCACGTGCCCTACCTATCTAAAAGTTTTGATTTCCGGTAAATTTTCCTCTGGTAGAATAATGCATTCCATTTCCTTTTGCTCCTGTTCTGGAAGACTTGCGCAGTGCAAACCTCAATTATTTTGGCTATTGTTCATCGGAAGACTTTTTACATAAACCGATTTCTGTATTGTGCAGCTTAAAACCCTTAAATAAAATACCAGGTCTCCTGTTGTCTGCATACATTTCCAAATGCTGTGGACATGGGGAACCTATGAAAATTTCATGGGGTTTTTTTATTATGAAAATTTATCAGAAATATACATCCACCTTCACCAATGGCCCACTGTGCAATTTTGTATTGCCATTCTGAACGATAAAATAGATGGTTAGGTTTTATTCACATTCTTTTTTTTTTTTTTTGCCTCTTTTTGCTCTACCACATAAAAAGACTGACATTTCAATTCATGTATCATGACGCACAAAGTTTTAAGGTAGCCCATGCTGTTCTTTTTTTCCTCCCTGCCAGGAATTTTTCGAGAGTTTGGGGGTGCGAGGTGTGCTCATAACATAGTGAAGTACCCCCAGTGCCGGCAGCACGCCCTGATGATCATCCAGCAGCTGGTGCTCTCTCCAAATGGTGATGACGACATGGGCACTCTACTCGGGTTAATGCACTCGGCCCCACCCACAGAACTGCAGTTGAAGACTGACATCTTAAAGGTACGTGTGCTGGAGTTCTGTGGCGCAGTGGCTTACCTGTTGGGCTGCTAACTGTAAGGTCAGTAGTTCCACACCAGTCGCCAGTCCAAGGGAGAAAGAAGAGGTGTTCTCCCCCCGTACTGGATCACTGATGACTTAGGGGTTAGGAGTTGGGCTGTAGTCCTCAGGGTGTCAGTTTGAAACCAGGAGCCACTCTTTTCTCTACTCCTGTAGAGTTATAGTCTCGGAGACCCACAGGGCCAGTTCTAATCTATGCTACAGTGTAGCTATGACTCGGCATCAACTCAGTGACAAGGAGTTTGGTTTTGATTTTTTTCTATTCTGTCAAGAGTTATACAAAGGCAGTTACTTCTACCCTGCCCTAGAGGTTCGCTGCGAGTTAGCATCAGCTCGACGGCAGTGAGTGCTAAGTGTGTGTACTCTTTTACTACTAAAATCTGCAGCTGTTTTAAAATTTGTATTTCAGTTAGGACAAAAAATGTCAAATTTCCAGTTAACCAAAGAAACACAGATTTACACATACTGAAGGCTTTTAAAAGCAGTCATCATTCTTGTCTTTCAGCATGGATTAACTTACTCAGACATTTCTGCAATGATTACATTGACTCACAGGAACTAGGCCCTAAATTTAAAAGTACATTAGTGAAATATAGCATCTTTATGACTTTTAAATTCTAATGTATATATTTCTTATTTAATTAAAAGCACCGATATCATGTTTAAAAATATATACCAATCCAAACCTTGCCATCAAGTTGATTTTGAACCTGTGACCCTATAGGACAGAGTACAACTTCCCTGTAGGGATTCGAAGGCTATAAGATTTTTTCTTTTCCTTTTTTTTTAACAGTTTTATTGGCACTTCATCCACATATCATGATTAAACAGTTCACCCTTATCCAGAAAAGTTGTACGATCTTTGTCACAATCATTTTTAGAACACTTGCTTTTTCAACATACTTTCTGCTTTACTTGAGTAAGTTGAGGGTAACTGTTCCAGTAAAACTTTACAAAGCCTCACAAACCCATTTAGGATCCTAATGAGATAAAATTTACTCTATACCAGGGTTTGTTTTTTTTTTAAGCTGTTCTAGAAAATAAGGTAGTGCTGATCTGAGGGGCCGGCCCCAATCCCAACTATGTGGACAGCCCTCCCTCCCCCCAGAAGAATTCACTTCAGAGGACAGCACTGAAGCTACAGCTCAGGGAGAGGGACATGTCTGATCAGAGCACACAGGAGCAAATGAAGGGGGAGGAAGAGAGAGTGGAGCA